AATCTTACTTTATATTTGAATCTTACTTTAGATCTCACTCAGATGCCAAGATCTATAAACACTTTATCATTTACGGTTCATAATCTATAAAATGTGGTTGGGGGATCTTGCTCTTATGATTTCTTGCCTGGCGATATGAGTAATCTTACCAGTGCGTCACTTGTGATTGCCCCCAAATGCATCTTTTTGTATACCTGGAATTGGGAAATTAAGGTCACTTTGAGAACTAAATGAGCTTAATGTTAAGAATGAGAGTGGTTACAGGATTGAGGCCTTGGAACATGAGTGAGTTGTGCAAAATAAAAAAAAGACATTTTCTGGAAAACGTGAAGGAGGCTAGAGAGGCTTGCAATGCAAAATTATTTGAGAAGAAAAATGAAAAGGAGAAATAAAAGAGAAAGAGGGAGGTAAGGTGGTGGGTGTTTCGGCTAGCCTTAGTGTGGAGAGGTTTGTGCTTTGCTTTCATACAAACTAACTCCCCAACTTGGATGCTTATCATTCTTTTCTTCTAATATTACATGTTTACAATGACATTTTAGCATAAAAAAGGAAGGGGCGATGATGACAAAGGCATGCCGGTGGTAGAGCAGAATAATGTTTCATCCTATAACATCGGACCCGATGAACCGTAGGATGATAATATTATTCACCGACATAAGACTAGTGGAACACACTTGCCCTCTTAGGTTGTTGGCGGTCCCACGCTCAACAGTGTGATCGACTCATGGACAATCATATTTCCACAAAACTGATAAAAACAGAAATAAAATAGATACTACATTTGCAAAAGTATTTTAACTACAAAATTGCTACAACTTTCTCTGCATGAAACTTATGTGCATGCTAAAATATAAATTTTAAATGTAAATTCGATTGTTCACTTGTCAATCACCAGTACCGGGCTAAGGAGTACCCTCCTACGTTGGTATAGTAGAACACCCTTTTAGTTGAATGTCAGACTCTATACATTCGGATGACCGATAGTAGCCTTCGAAGTCCCTCAAGTATATATACACAGTTTTTGAGCCCAGCGAACTTGAATGCTTATAGTTTAATTTGGCTTTTTATTGTTCACTTATTATTTCTTTCGAGTTTTTCCCCAAGTGTTTTCTTATAGTCCTTTTTTAACTTATTTTTGTGAGTCACTTGATTTTCATTTGAAAAGTTATGGAGTGGGAAGCCCCAGGGGTAAAATGATAATTTTGGAATTTTAATACCTTAATTAAATTTTAGGATTAATCAAAGGGAAAATGGGTAAAAATATTGATTATAATGAACTTTCTGGATGATTGAAATATAATGGGTTAAAAGATAGAAACCAACTTGCCACCTGTCTCATGATAAAAATAAAATTGTAATTAATATAATTTGGAGGTTAATTCAACTAGAGGACCTAAAGTATTGTGCTTGAATTATGAAGATAATAACTCACGCATTTAAAGCCTACTAGTTGATCAAATGTTAAATCTGATTTTGATGGAAATTCTAATTCAACATTTGAATTGTTTTAAATCATTTGCAAAATTGAAGTTAAAAAAAAGGTCTAATAATAAATTAGGCTTGATATGCGAAATTGTCTTAATCGGGATAAGAAAAGATGAACATAATTACAGGTTGAAGAATATCAAAGAAAAGAAAACTCGGAACTTGCTTTTTCATGGGAAGTGCTGTTGTTCGAACTATTCACCTGTTCGAACCCATCTCTCCATCTTTACACCTCATGCCTTTGCCGAAGAAGAAGAAATAGTGGAACAGTTCACTCTTAAGCCAAAGAGTGAAGAAGATATTGATAGGAAGAGCTGGACCCGCATGCCATGCATTAGAAGCATAGGTTAATCCTTCCTTGTCAACCCATTAAAGCAAGAAAGGCCCACTTTGGAGAGCCTCTAGAATTCTTGATTCGGGAAGAAGGTTCTGGTGGGAAGTACATATTGAAAGCATTAAATGCGGTAAATGAATAATAAGGAAACAAATTAGAGAGCAATTAATTTAATTAATTCAACAGCAATCCAATTTGCTGCCCTAAAGAATAAACTGCCAAATATGAAGTGGATCGGTCTTCGTTATTCTCAACAATTCTCCCACTTGGAGACTGAGACACAAGCTGCATCACCTATTGGCTGTATCGACCTTTTTCTCAAAAGTGATATCCTCCACCTCTACAACTGAAAGCCCTTGTCTTCACGTTAAAAGACCAACTAAAGTTGTGCACTACTTCAGTTTCTTAAGAGTAACTCCCTCAGCTGACATATCAGCATTAACATAACTTTCTGCCTCCAAGTTCTTTTCTGAGTTACTCGTGTTTCTCCTTACACCTCCCACCGCATGGGCAGACAATAAACTGCATCTATTGAAAGCCTTTTTGAACAAGTCTAGTCTTGTACCTCTTACTGTCATCAAACTCAGTCTCACCTGGTACACCCGTTTGTTGTGCAATGTCTTCTTTTCTGATGGAAGTTCTGTCAGCTCCCAATTCTGATTTCCTAGCAGGAAATCCGTCTGCTTCTTCATGGCTAGCTCCCCTTGCTCGAATTTTCATATTGCAAGATTTCTTCATAGCTCTGACACGTGACCAAGCCTGCAATGCCACAAATCTATCATACACTCTGCAACTGTACTAACAATAGCATTGAGTAAACCTGTAGTCATATATAGTGTGTCAGTTTTCTTATCCCGAGAAAGCATTAATGTTTCTTTGGTAACCTTCCAGGTGTTATCTGAGAACGCTACTGAATGACCACCCTCATTAAGTTACTTAACAAAAATGAATTTTTTTTTCAACTCAGGAATGTGTTTGATCTTTTGTAAAGTTCATTTGCTTTTGTTAGGGAGTGCAATATCAACGTCTCCCATCCCACCACGTTCAGAGCTTTTCCATCGGTCATATATACCTTCCCAAAGTCACCGACAACATAATTTCGCATCAACTCTTGGTGGGAAGATGTATGGAAGGAAGCCCTGAATTCAGTATTCAGTCATCAACAAAATTGTGAACAACCAGCAATAGTGCATTATGTACTTCTTCAATTACAACATTAGCGCTATCATCTTCCGTTTTCTTCAGATTTATGCAGTTTCCTTTTATGTGGCAAACTTTATCACAATTCTAGTTGGTTGCTTGTTGACCAAGCTTTAACTTGCTCTTGCCTCTGTGTTTTGATTTTAATCTTCCTCTATTTGAGTTTTTATTTTATGATCTCCCTCTGGAATTAACATTCAGTGCAAAACTCGAATCCGAGGTCTCGCTAGAATCTTTTCCGCACACATCCTCAACAAAAATCAAATCACGAATATCATCATATTTCAGTTTAGATTTATTTGCAGAATTGCTAACAACCATCCTCATAGCTTCTCAGTTATTCGGCAATGAAGCTAACAATAATAACGCATGTATCTCATCATCACAATCAATTTGAACAGACGACAATGGATTTGTGATGGTATTGAAATCATTTATATGTTGTGCAACGTACACCATCCACCATGTTCAAGTTGAATAATTTTTTCATCAAGTACAACTTCTTATTCCCTGATGGCTTTTTATACATACTTGATAAAGCCGTCATGAGATCTGCAGTAGTTTTTTTTTTGATGACGTTGTGGGCAACGAATCTCGACAGGATTAATCGAACAACCCCAGAACCTGTAGATCCAACATATTCCAATCTGCCTCATCCATCTTTTCCGGTCGTTTTCTCAGTAACGGAAGATGAAGTTTCTTCCCATAGAGGTAGTCTTCTATCTGCAGCCTCCAGTAATCAATATCTATGTCATTAAACTTCTCGATCATTGATGCCATCACTTCATCTCTAGCCATCGCTTTCCTGAAATCCGAACCAAGGCTCTGATATCAATTATTGTAAAAAACGATGATAATAAAGCGAAAAACTTGTACGTTAAATTCTAACAACAGAAAAAACAATATAATACACAAATTTACGTGGTTCGATAAATTGCCTACGTCCTCGAAGTTGTAAAGGATTTTATTAGCTTGAGGATTACACCGTCGAACGCCTCGACGTTTACAAGAAGGAACTCTCTCTTTTCTCTCTCTCTTCTTCGCTCTCTCTTGCTTTCTCTCTCCTCTCTCTTTCCAACTCTCTCTAACCGAGTGCTACAGTTAGAAGAATATGAAAGAGAAGAAAACCCGGAACTTGCTTCTTCACGCGAAGTGCTGTTGTTCGAACTATTCACCTGTTCGAACCCTTCTCTCTATTTTTACAGCTCATGCCTCTGCCGAAGAAGAAGAAATAGTGGAGCAGTTCACTCCTAAGCCAAAGACCGAAGATGATATTAATAGTAAGAGCTGAACCTGCTGCCATGCATTAGAAGCATAGGTTAATCCTTCCTTTTCACCCCATTAAATCAAGAAAGGCCCGTTTTGGAAAGCCTCCAGAATTCTTGATCCGGGAAGAAGGTTCTGGCGGGAAGTACATATGTAAAGCACCATATGCGGCAAGCGAATAACAAGGAAACAAATTAGAGAGTAATTAATTTAGCAATTAATTCAACAGCATTCCAATTTGCTGCCATAAAGAAGAAACTGCCAAATAAGAAGTGGACCGGTCTCCATTATTCTCAACATAAACAGCCACTGACCATAATCAAGATTAATGAAGCAATCCCGTTCTTCTCTGCATTCCTAATGTTTCAGAGAATATCGGGATTTAGGATAAGAAATTATTCGAATAAATTTTATGTTACATTCAATGCCAAAGTTGTCACAGTTGTTTCTCTGGCTTAATTAGCTGTAAATTCTGTGATGTTTAACGGGCTTGTACATTTTATTTCTTAGAAATCCAAGTACTCACATCGTTTAGAAGCATGCTACCACAGAAAATTTTTTTTAGTAAAACATTATAATGATGTAATAACCTTTTGCTCATCAGTTTTGTTTTTGGTTTATTAACAATTGCATTTTTTGATATGATTATTTCCTTCATTTTCTTGATTACAGTTCATTGATTGGTTGTTCGGTTAACTAAAAGCATGGCATGCAGGATGTTGCAGTGAAGGTCCTTGAAGATCAAGATTTCTATGATGATCAGATGAAAGAATTTTTGAGGGAGGTAGGTTCATTAAATGACAGACTAGATTATTTTGTTACAATTCACATTTCTTCTACTCTATGATGCACAGTTTCATCTTGTTTCTTCTGATATTAAGCAGTAGTGGCCTCTGGGAAACCTATTTGCAACAGGAATAATATATAAAATACATTTTCCGCTCAAAATTCTGAACACTAGCTTGTGCACTGAGTGCAATTTATTTCCATATGCCTGGTCTACTTATTGCTTGTCTTAGCTATCGCCTTTTATACCAGCCAGGGACCCAAATAGAATTAAAAAAATTGCAAATTAAGTACTGATGCACATAATTCTAATGTGGTGAGGAAATCCTATCTTGGAGGTATTAAAGTTTACACGTGTTTGGTTAAGGTTTAAGTATGGTAAGGTAGAAGGAATCCTGGTCACAGTGTCCCGAGACACCAATCATGCGGTGAGGCCCGACACTCTCGATGCACCTTCAAAATGGGGATGATATTAGGAGGCTGTCGAAATTTTTGGCGAACGAACTTGCACAAAACAAAATTAAGTAAACTTGTTGAGTATCATTATGACTTAATCAAGAAATAGAAAAAATGCAAAACTTTAAGAATAAATTTGACACTTAAATTATCATACCAAAAATGCTGAATGAGAACCGTAACAAAATTTTGAGTTGGACAATGGGAGACTTGATAATTCATAAATGAGCACTTTTTGAGATCTGTAAACATGAGTGCTCCTCAACTGGCATGTGAAAACTATAATAAATTATGTTGCTCCCTTGTGGAAAAAAACATGGCTTAATAGCTCACTAGTGAGTGTGAATATGAAATTGTGACGAACTTAGCAACTCACTTGTGAGTGATGAATGAAATTTCCTTACTCCACCAAGAATTTAAAAGGACTTGAAAGCTTATCAACAAGCATAAGCAAGATTGGGAAGGAACTTTATATTTTGCTAGTTGACACAGACAATGTCACGTTGAACACTTAAGAATTCAACACAGGATTTATCTACAAACAATTGACCAATTGCAAACAAATGAAAGCTAAATGCAAACAAATATTGTTATTTTTAACGCTAAATATGATTTCTATTTGTCCTGATCGCCATTGGATACACTACACTTTTATAAATGGATATAAACCAAAATTCTTATCATCAAAATGGCATATTTGTGCATATTCCAATGATATTATATTTTTGCAAATAATAAAGTCTAAATATTTATTCACATAAGTACATCATTCAAATGCTCTGAAGTTCTGGGGCATTATATAAGTACAATGAGATGTGTTCATACTCAAAGTTAATACCTATGTGTTCTCCGGCCTATATATTAAAATTTCAATTATATGGTATGAGATTGATGTGCCAATTAGCTTAAAATAAATGTTAAATGGTTTCATGTGCTCCAAACTATATTTTAGTTTTTTAATTATAATGTGTGAGAATGTTGCACATGCTAGTTTAAAATAATTTTAAATACCTTTACGCAATCCTGCCAATGCACTTAGTAAGAGGTTTGGAATGCTATGCCTATTAAAAATTAGCTTCACCATTAAAAGAAAGCTTCAACTAAATTATAACTTGTCTTGAAAGATGTACAAAGTTTTCCAAATTTAGTTCAAAGATCAATTTTAAAACACCTGCATGTGCTTCAATCAATGTGTTGAATGTTCAAATACTAGGTTTGAGATTTTTAGACGGGCTAATAAAAAAGTAAGCTTTGTCCACTCACATGTGCTCCAACGATAATTTTATGTACCTAAACTTATGCATTAGAATGCTTTGTGTGCTCATATACTTTATTTTAAAATCTAATTTGCCTTGAGAAGCATCCAAATTCTCTTTTCAAAAATTAGTTTAATTTCATTAAATCATGCACATTCTCGAACGGACAACCTTATTTGTAGGCGAGCTCAAATGCTGAAGTTGTCATGCCAAGGTTTTCATTGAACCAATCCAATTTTACTTTTCAAGTGGACTGAAGTTGATATGCTTGATGTTTAGTGATATTCAAGTTTTAAGTTCCAATTAAATAACAAATATGAATATTTCAAGTTATTCAAATTTTCATATTATTGATGTTTTGATTGTGAATCTCAACCGGAGGGAGTCTATTCATAAAATTAGTTTTTAAATCATGAAATTTATAAAACGGTCAAATGAAATTAATCACCAAATGCTTAAAGTAAAACACATCCAAAATTAATCTCTATATGTTTTAAGATAAAACAATTCCACTCTTCACAACTTTTTTTTGAGGGTACCAATTTTGAGGTTAATTACATTTCAAAATGGGTGAATGTCATATCGAGTATGTTACTATATTCACATTTAATATAACCTTATGCCAGTAAAAAAGGTGGCTCCAATTCTTTGTTCACTTGATTTGGCTTAAGGGCTTCACAAAAGGAGCATCATGAATATAACCCTCTTATATAGTGGCTTGGCTCAAGAGCTCCATTATAGAATAGTCACTGACTATGACTCGTATGTTCCCCAGAGATATTCTACTTTTTGGAGTTGTGAATCATATGATATACCTGATAGGACACTAAATCTTCTATAAGTTAAGCTCAACTTTGATTTGTTCGCTTAGACAAACATCCACTCTGAAGATATTTGGGTTGAGTTGGTCTAGTGAGCTCAGTGTTGCTTTTGGAGGGTTCTTTTTGAGTTTGGTTGGTGAATTTTTCTTGAGCTCAACTTATAGAACAACCTAGATCTTGATGGATTAGTTGTGTGAACCCCTTGAGAGAGTTTTCTTGAAATTCGACTTGGCGAATGAGATTTGAAATTAACCAATGAGCTCGTCTAATCCTTGTCATGGAGAGCATTTTGTCTTAATTTGGCAATTTGTCTTTGGTTCGGAGGCGAGTTCCTCCTTTGGTGTGTCTTGTGTGTACAATTCCTTATTTATTTTTTGTTATTTTGAAAATATTAAGTTAGATGGATTAGTTGTGGTAAAATATTTTGGAGGGTCTTTTCAATCTTTGAATTAAGGCATTTATGACCGTACCTTTCTTAGGAGTCAATGAAATGCTCATAAATGTTGTTGGCAGTGGGAACCTTTGTAGTTTGCTGAAAAGCTCTTTCAACATTTCCATCTGCTCGGCTGAATGATAAAATCGTGGATGCAAGTTATTTTGGAGATTCACTATTGATTGCTAGGAGTCTATGACCATGTTTCTCTTGTTTTCAATCATCAAGTTTCTTATGTGTCCAAATTTGTTATGCTAAACACAATTATATTTTCTTTTTTGAGGAATTTTTGTTGGATGCATGCACATCGAATTTGAAGCTTTCTTAAGTTGTCGGAGTGCCTTTGTCTCTCATCAGGATTTTCTTCTAGTTTTTATCTTTTTCTTCTTCAAAACATACTTCTTGAATGAACTGTTTGTTTTAATTTTTTTCTTCGAACTTTATCATAAATTTCATTTGGTCAAAGGAGAAATTTATTTTTTTTTTTAATTTTTAATTCTTAGTTGCATCCTCTGAGACTATCAATCTAGCTTTTTCAAACTTATCCAATTATTGCCAATATTTTTTAATAGTATTATTTTTATTGAGTAATAGATAGATCACTTATCCAAGATTGTGCAAAGTAAGCAACCAAGCAATAATCTTATTATTTGAATAAGTCTCTTTTGTTGCATCCCACCTTTTTTTGGGGTAGCATAGAACATGAAATTTCAGCCATTTCATTTTTCTTGGAGTTAATGAGCCAGTACATAACTAAATTATTTTCAACATGTTAATTTTCTAAATTCGGTTTTTTTTTTGTTTTCTTGAGGAGTGGTCACATTAGCGAGATAACCATCTTTGCATTTTAATTTTATGAACATCATAACTGAATAAACTCATTGGAAGGTAATTTTACCCTCTTAATTTGGTGTCCTGTGAGTGTTAGATTTGAGGAGAAGCTTTGATGATTGTTGAAGTGCCATTAATGATTAATTTATGAGAAGACGTGGTATTAGAGGAGAGGTTTTTCTCAGTAACCATCAAGGTTTAGATAGAAGAACCAACTGACGGCAAGATGAAGAATCATTAGGTTGAAGCATGCTCTTTGTAGGATTGCAAGAATCTAACGATGAGTGAAATCATCAGTCAAGTGATGCTTATATAGCCAAGATTGAAAAAGGTCAGAAGGTGCTTGGAGTCTGATACATGATCACATATAAATTGCAAGGTTAAGTAAACATCATGAATTTGACAAAACAAGCTGTGGGCTCAACAAATTTGACAAACCAGACTCTATTGTTGAGAGCTTTTGTGTTTGGTATTTTGGGTCAAATTTTTAGAAGATAGATGAAATATAGATAAGACACTACCTAGAGATTTTACCACTGGGGTTCAAGATTTCCCGTAGGCATCAGTCCCTCTAGTTAATTATCTATCTAGATAACATAATAGCACTTTTCGATTAAGGCTAGTCATTTAACACTGAATATTCATCATATAATAACAGTAGAGTTAGTTTTAGATTGTAAAATATGTCACCTTGAGCTGAAAACAAATGGTGAATTAAATGATGAAGAACTTGATCAAGATTTCATGATTTCATAAATAATAGCACTTTGTGGTTCCTGATCTACTTAGTCAAAAGAGGAAGTTGACCCAACCAGATTATTGGATTCTTGCCACGAAGTTTAGGTTGCACCTATGGTGGATGTTTGGCTATAGAAATAAATTTAAGTTGACATTAGCTGATATGCAACTTTATGACAGTTTATTATATTGTTATAGTTCACAATGCAAAGGGTAGAAAGTCTTTGGAGAACACATAGTGTGCGACCATGACACCGTAATATAATGGTGTCATTTGGCGGTAACCATCCGATCATTGGACTATGGTCGTAACAACTACTTTTATGGAGTCTTTGGGCCAAACCACACTAATAGAGAGCTCAAAACACCTCCTTACTGGTATGAAATTATTTTGAGTGTGTGCTTAGTGTGTGGTGCCAAAAACTTAATTTCAATCTCATACAATGGTGCCAAAAACTTAACT